CCTAGAAACCCAGCTCCCCCCACGAGGGGAGAAATACCACAACTGAAGCAAAGTCAGTGTATGGGTTCAATGGCAGACTAGAGTGGACAGAGGAAAGACTCCATGTATGTGCAGACAGAAAAACAGAATTTACCCAATCTCAACACAAAGCAAGTGGCTTAGGGCTGGGGTCAGAGATTGGTGGGGATACTGCCTCAAAAGCTTATGGAACCAAAACAAAAATGCCATTAATGTCTTTGAAGAAGGAAAAAGAAGTACTTGAAGAAATGGCTGAAAACAAATTTGGTAAGAGACCTAAACATATAGATTTAAGAATCTTAGTCTCAGACAGAATAAACACAAATAAATCCAATGCTAAGACACTCACAGTCAAACTTCTGAAAACTAAAGACAAAGAAAAAAATCTTGAGAGAGGAAAACATCTTACTTATAAGGAGGAAATTTAAAAAATATATATATATTTATTTGAGAGAGAGCATGTGCGAGCAGGACAGGCAGAGGGAGAGGAAGAGGGAGAGAATCTCAAGCAGATTCCCCACTGAGCGTGGAGCCTAATGCAGGGCTCGATTCCACGACCCTGGTATCATGACCTGAGCTGAAATCAAGAGTTGGAAGCTTAACCAACTAAGCCACCCAGGCGCCCTGTAGGGGAAAAATTTGAACGACTGTAGATTTCTCATCGGAAACCATGAAGTGGCACAATGTTTTTCAAGTGCTGAGAGAAAAGAACTGTCAACTCAGAATTCAACTCCAGGGAAAATATCATCAGGAATGAAGGGGCAAATCAAGGCATCTAAATTGTTTGATGGGGGCGCCTGGGTGCCTCAGTCGGTTAAGCATCCCACTCTTGGTTCTGGCTTAGGTCATGATCTCAGGGTCATGAGACTGAGGCCTGCATGGGGCTCTGCATTCAGCACGGAGTATGCTTGAGATTCTTTCCCTCTCCCTCCCCTATACCCCTCCCTCCTGGTTATGCTCTCTCTAAAATAAATGAATAAAATCTTAAAAAAATAAATTATGTTTGATGGTTGAAGCAAAAATCACCACATTGTGTGATGTGATTCTAAATTTAAGTGGAGGAAATATTTAAAACAATTATAAACTGGAGAAGGTAATGAGACATAAAGACAGGTGAGGTTTCTGTATTTCACTCAAATTGGTAAAATGATGACACCAACAGACTGTGATGACTTACACACACACACACACACACACACACACACACTGTACTATCTAGAACAACCACTAAAGCCATACAAAGAGATACATTCAAAATCAGTATAGAGCAAAATGGGATTCTAAAAGCGTTCAAGCAACCCATAGGAAGGCAGGCAAAAGAAAACACAGAGAAATGAAAACCAGAGAGAAGAACAGTAAGCCGAAAAATAAAAGGGCAGGCTTAGGCCTTAAGTTTATTAGTAATTACATTAAATGTATATGATCTAAATACACTAACTAAAGATAGAGATGGGTGGGTACAGTGGATTAAAAAACATGACCCAACTATATGCTGTTGATAAGCAATCTACTTACGTATAAGGGTGTAGGTGTATTGACAGTTAAAGGATGGAAAAAGGTGTATCATGCAAACATTAATTAGAAAAAAAGAGTAGGAGTGACTACACTAATGTCAGATAAAGTAGATGTTGGAGTAAAGAAAATTACTGGCGAGAAGAATGGGATAAAAAATAAACATTCAAAAATCAGTTTCAATTTCTATATAATAGCAATAAATTCATGGACACCAAAATTAAAAGTATGATATAAATTTATAATTGCTTTAAAAAAGGAAATACTTGGGTATAATTCTAGCCATCACATATAAGAACTTGTAAAACTATAAAATGCTGATGAAAAAAATCAAAGATCTACAGAAATGGAGAACCATATTGTATTCATGGGAGTCTCAACATAGTGAAGATACCAATTCTCCCCAAATTGATAAACAAATTTAATGCAATGCCTATAAAAATCTGAGTAAGATATATTTAGATGTAGACAAGACTATTTTAAAATTTATATGGAAATGCAAAGGAACTAGAATAGCTAAAACCAATTTTGAAAAGGAAAAATAAGGTGGGAGGAGCAGTGTAGTCTACCTGATTTCAAGACTTCCTGCACAGCTACAGTAATCGAGACTGTGTGGTAATGGTGGAGAAAGAGAATTAGATCAACAGAATAGAGAACCCAGAAAAAACTCACATAAACAGGACCAACTGATTTTTCACAAAATCACAAAAGAGTAGCCTTTCCAACAAATGGTGCTGGAAAAAAAAAAAAACTGGTCTTCAATCTGCAAAATGTGAACAAAAACAAGAAAACAAGAAGGCAAAAAATACCCCAAAAGACCTTCAACCTAAATTTTATACCTAATACAAAAATTAACTCAAAATGGATCATGGGCTTAAATGTAAAATATAAAACTTAAAACATTTAGGGAAAAAAAAAAAAACGCTTAGGTTAAAAAAGTTCACTCTGGGGTTAGGTAAAAAAAAATAAGTTCTTTGATTTGACACCAACAAGCTTGATCCACAAAAAAAGAATTAATAGGACTTCATCAAAATTAAAATATATTTCTCTGTGAAAGATCCTGTTAAGAAGATGAAATGGGAGAAAATATTTGCACGCCACATCTCTGACAAAGGACTAGTATCTAGAATGTATAAAGAATTCTTAAAACCCATTTAATGAGAAAATGGGTAAAAGACATGAAGGGATGTTTTATGGAACAGAGTAAGCAGATGGCAAATAAGCACATGGAAAGATGTGCAAAATCATTAACTACGAGGGAAATAAAACTTAAAACCACAATAACATCACTATACACTTGTCAGAATGGCTAAATAAAAAAATAGTGACAAAACCAAATGCTGGCAGAGTTGAAGAAACCGGATTACTCAGACTTTGCCAGTGGGAATGTAAAATGCTAGTCTGGAGAAGTTTGGCTATCCCTTAAAAAATGAAATTTGTAACTGCCATGTGATCTTCCAATTGTCTGACATTCCAGAGAAACAGAGACTTACGTTCATACAAAAATCTGCACACAAATGTTCTTAGAAGTATTTGTAATAGCCAAAAGCCAGAAAAAATCCAGATGTCCTCCCATGGGCGAACAGCTAAGCTATGGTACATCCGTGCCTTTGGAATACTACTCAGTAATAAAAAGGAAAACTATTGATATATACCACAACCTGGATGAATTTCCACAGAATCATGCTCAGCTAAAAAATCCATCTCAAATGGTTACATACTGTATGATTCCATTTATTTAAAGTTCTCGAAATGACAAAATTATAGAAACGGAGAACAGAGTAGTAGTTGACAGGGATTAAGGGAGGGTTAAGGAGGGGGTGGGCATGGCTACAAAGGGGCTGGGGGGATTCTGGCAGCAATGGGATGCCCTGCATCCTGACTGCATCGATGTCAATATCCTGGTTGTGATATATGGTATGTTTTCAAGACATTATCACAGGGGAGAACAGGGGAAAGGGGACATCCCCTACCACTGCTTGTACATCTACGGTGATCTCACAATAAAGTTTAGCTTGATTTTAAAAAGTACATTCTGTATGATTCTACTTTTATGAATTCAAAGCATGATCCTAACCTAAGCATAATCGAAATCAGAACAGCAATCACCCTTGGCAGGGAAGGGGCATGAGGAATCTGGGGGATAATGGAAATGTTTTGTATTTTGTTTTGGGCAGGGATCACAAATTCATGTCTCAGAAACGTACATTTGAAAGGATCTCTCCTTCCCAAGATTTAAGATGGTCTAATATCCTTGGATTAAGATAGTCCCATCGTGCGTTCTGCTGAAATACTGATTCTTCTTCCCTTTAGAGCTAAAAGGAATCCCTGAGTTTTAAAGAATTTATAAATGGTGGGGCGCCTGGGGGGCTCAGTCGTTAAGCGTCTGCCTTCGGCTCAGGTCGTGATCCCGGGGTCCTGGGATCGAGCCCCGCATCGGGCTCCCTGCTCAGCGGGAAGCTTGCTTCTCCCTCTCCCTCTCCCCCTGCTTGTGTTCCCTCTCTCGCTCTGTCAAATAAGTAAATAAAATCTTAAAAAAAAGAATTTATAAATGGTAACATGCAGAATACAAAGCATCATGATTTTTGAGGAATAAAAATTTAGGTAAGTGATCACGATAGGCCATTTTTCACTTGGGAGAATGTTTTGCTAGTCCTACAGGCTTAACGACTTCATTCAGCAAGTGTCCAATGACAAGAAAAGTCACGCAGACAGACCCCTTGCCCCACTCTTGCTATTGGGGTCTGCGCTGTGGTGGGCAGGCCACTCCCTCTGGGGCCCAGCCCTGTGTTTCTGGCCCTCTGGAGCCTCCCAAACCCTGGGCGTCGCTGAGACGGAGGCGGGACCCATCTCTGGGAGAGTGAGCTTCTCGTGCCCTCTGACTTAGGGACTCGGCGCAAACGTTGTCCTTGCCCACCAGTCCTACCTTCAGGATGTCGGCAAACAGAGGAATAATAAAGTCTGTTCTACCAGTGCCCTAGGACCCCACAGCTCCCGGGGCGGGTGCTGAGGGCCCGCCACCCCTGGGAGGTCTCTGCAGGTGCATATCGCAGGTCTGCTCGTAACACCGATGCTTGAACCCAAGTGCTTCATGGTCTTTGATCCACCTGGATGTGAAGCTTGCTTTTCTGTGGCCAGAGGCAACAGCTCTTCCCTTTGCTCTGATTCGTGTGTCCATCAAGAAGTGGGGTACCTTAGAGATTCTAACCAGGACGAGGTGCAGCCCCACCGTAAGCAGCTGAAATCTGGTTTATGCACCCGTGTCTTTGGAGTCTGGGTTCTGGGAACCAATCTGCAGGCACCTGACCAACTCCCGTTTCTGGCCTTGTACAGTGGATTCCCACTCCGGGACATTCTCCCCTCCAACTCCCCGCCAGACCTAGGAGAGGCCAGTCTTTCAGTCTCCCTCAGTGATGTCTCTCTTTTCGATTCCACGGTGATCAATTTAAATAAAAGGCCTAACGCAAAAATCAGGCAAATATGTTTAATTTTTTAAAATAACTGATGGCAAAATAAAATATTTACATCACATCATACTGTGTAAACATGTAAGGTCTCTGTACAAAGAAATATACATGCAAAATAATGTAAAAATTTAACTGAAATAATAAAAGAAACAATACACAAATGAACGTTGTGAGGTTACGAATACACATCCAGTTTTGAATCCAATTTCTTTTAAAAAGTTTCTGTACAATTTTACAAGAAACAAACAAAAACCCAACAAAAGAATAAATAAAATACATTGGAAGCGGCAAAGCTTAACTACGCCAGTTTATGGCTCAAGACCCAGGTGTCTGGCCGGCTGGGGATGCGGGCTGGTCTCCCTATTAGTGTATTTCACACAACGAAGGTAAAAAGACATCCCGAAAAACTCAAGCATGCCCAGAAACCCCGCGGCGTGCTCCCAGGCCTCCCCACCCCGGCGTGAATTCTGCCACAGTGACGCAGACATCGGGTGACAGCCTCAAGGCGGCTAGTGCTTCATGGGCTTTTATTTCTTACCAAAAGCTCAAAATCCAGCCGATTTTTGTACAGAAAGTTGAACGTCAAAAAGTCTAAAAAGTAGTAAATGTCCAGACTGATTTTGGGGAAAAAAATAATACTTTGGCATTCTGAATAATAGCATAATAAATTTTAAAACATTACCCTATTATCCAGTTTTATATTCAGAGTATGAAATCACTTTTTACAGTCCTCAAAACTGACAAATTCCACGAAGAGTTCAATCTCCTTGAACTGATAGCACAGGGCTACAACCCCCTCCCCCCCACCCCACCCCTGACACACGCACAAAACCATAAAGCTCACTGTACGAAGTATGTGCTTTTTCTATATATTTATTACAGGTACAACAGAGGTCTTCATAAATAGTTGCATAAAATGTTAAAGCCACAACATTGCACATGATATGAAATAAAACCAAAAAAACCCCAATGAGTGCATTTACAGTATTTTCATCTGACTGTATACTGCTCAACAATCTGATTGACGGCTGGGGGGTGGGTGGGGAGCACAGGGAGGCCACCCCTAGGGCTCGGGGTGGGACCCAACTTGATGTCCTCGGTGGATGGGCAGAGCCCTCTGACCTCCCCCAGAGGAAGCCCTGGGCAGCGGGTGGGGAGCAGGAGGGGAAAGGACAGACCGAAGGCAGGACCAGTCTTATATACAAGTAAGGCCTACATTTCATCAGAGCAGAACGATTCATTCTATTTTTATGCAAAAGTCTGAGGTTGAATGCACGTTTCAGGAGCCCAGTCTGGCGTCCCCGCGAGACGCACGCAGACCCGGCAGCTGGAAGAGCTCAGAGCCAGGTGGACCCTGAGCTCTGGGCGAGGCCGCGGGGATGGCCACCGCGAGGGTGAGTCCTCCCCAGAGGGGTCCAGTATCTCTGTTTTGTTCGTGAAGACCAGTGGTTGAACATAGGCATTTCGTTTCCTTGAATAAATCTTGGAAAATGTTAAATTTGCAAAATTCTATTCATGTTCATTTAAAAAAGTTTCTTTTTATTTTTTGCAGAAACCTGAATAAAAGACTGTGGTACAGCAATGCTGTGTCCGCTCACGAAGAGTGTACAAGAAGGTCCTCCACCCCAGCACAGCGTGCTCCCGAGTCCCAGGCACTGCCGAGCTCAGCTCACTCGGAGCCCCATGTCACACGATGAACATACGGCAGCTGATCAGTTCTGTTGGTGTGTGTTTCTCTTCAAAATTCAAATTAACAGCTGATTGGCAGGTGAAAGAGAATGAGAAAGAACTTCAAGATAGGTCAAACTCTAGGCAAAAGCCTGCTCTGTAAGAAGTTTTGAACGCTACGGATAGGTCGAACATCGTTCTGGTGTTTGCGCCGCTCAATGAAGGAAGTCAGTCTGGACGTGTCGAGGACGCCCGCCCCCTTGCCACTGCCGTGGCCCGCCTGCAGCCACTGCTCCTGGAGGGCTAGTGCAGCCGAGGGACGCTTGGCAGGGTCCTCTTGCAGGAGGGAACACACGAACTCCTTGGCCTTCTGGCTCACTCCTTTAAAGCAGTCCTCTGGGAAACTAAAGTCTAGTCGGCAAATGTTCAGGCAGGTCTCCTCCACGCTGTCGTCGAGGAAGGGGGACACGCCGCTGAGAAGCACATATGTGAGCACTCCGACACTCCATGTATCCGAGGTCAGGGAGATGGGGTTCCCAAGGATGATTTCAGGGGCTGCAAACTCGGGGTTCCCCAGTAACTGGTGGATGTAGTAGGTCGTGTTGAGTTGGACAGCATCTCCAAAATCAGCCAGTTTAATCGTTGGCTTGGCCAAACTCTGATCCACCAGAATGTTTTCAGGCTAGAAGACAGGATAAGACAACGGTCATTTCCATCGATCCCCATCTCAAGCTTACTTGGGATGCTCACCAGGAATCAACGAAGTCGACTGGAAGAAACCGTTCCAACGCAAGAAGGGATGCAGTTCTGAGCACGCAGGCCCACGGAGGAGAAGGCAGCACCAACACAGAGGGAACGCCGCCCCCTCCCCGCAGACAGCTCTCCTGGTAAGTGAGCATGAAGGCGCCATGCCGAAGAACGCTGCCTTAGCAAGCTGGGTGTTCGTCTTCACGCCCAGCACTAACAGTAATATTCACCTTCCTTTCTCAGCTACCACTGACCCAGTCCCACACCAGCCTTGCAAAGCTCTCAGGAACTTTCTGGAACCTCATGAAATGTGTGAAGATCTCAAATGTTTATCTAGTACTTCACTGACTTTGTATCATTGAGAGCAAAATCTTAAAAACAGAGATTAGAAATCAGGGTTCCCGTTACCCACCTGCTCCTGCTTGTCCCCGGTCCCCCCAGGCCTCCTGCAGTGGACACGTTGGGAGGAGGCCCCCACGTGCCAGGTGGCTGGGCCTCGGTCAGACATGATGGCTTTGGCCCCAGGGGCCCCACTCACCTTTAGGTCCAGGTGTGCTATCCTGCAGTTGTGAAGGTATCGGACGGCTTCCAGAACCTCCCCCAGATACGCCCTGATCTTCCCTTCGGTGAGGTTTCCCCATCGCACCACACAGTCCAGGAGACGCCCCTGGTCAGCCCTGTGGAGGCAAGAACGTGGGCAACACTTGTGATGGTGCTGGGTCACTTTAGAGGAAACAAAGAGCTTGTCTGTGCCCACTGTTAATGTCCTACCAGTCTGGTGTTTCAGGAGCACAGCTCCACCTCCAGGCACGACTCTATCAAGAGGGTGGTTTCTTTTCAACCTCGTTATGGATGCGAGTGGGGAACAAGGGCGCCCAGCCCTCAGAGGGAGCGGGGAAGGGGAGGGGAGCACGAACTCCCGCCCAGCAGGCTCGCACGTGAGCCCGGCCTCTCGGATGCTGAGGGGATGCAAGCCATCCGGCCACGGTGGGCACTCGGCAGGTGCTCTGCAGGCATCTGCTGTAGGCTGCAACGAAGCAATACACCTCCCCAAGCCTTCGTTTTGTCATCTGTAGGATGGGCAACGGGAAGGCCACACGAGCTAATGTAAGTAAAGAGGCAGACCTCGAGGTGTGCTGAGAAAACAGCCAGCACGACAGGCTGCCCCCTGCACCCCCCGCCCCCGTTCCTGCTGCGCTTTTCCTGGGTGCCTTTGAAAACAGCACTCAGAGGTGAGCCGTGACACTTAGTGACCTCTGCCCAGCCACCTCATAACATGGGCTGCCCATGCTCTCACTCGTGACCTGGGATGGAGGGCTGCCCTTCCCCCAGCTCGCTGTCCCCAGTTTCGGGATCTGTAATCTGAAACTGTGCCTTCCATCAAAATGCCCCCCGAGTTCCCATTTCCCTGAAGTGGGAGCAGGGATGCTGAAGGAACTACCTGCCGACCCGCACCTCTGGTTTCATGCTGCACTCAAAAGGCTTCCTACTACGGTGAATTACTTTGATATTTAAAAACCATGGATGCAGCGCTGCCCATGGGCCAGGGACTAAAGGCTTACTGCCAATTCACTAAATCCTCACGCCAACCTTCCCAAGGTCATACAGCTCGCCAGGGAAGGCCAGACCTGCAGGGAGGTGGTCTGGCCCAGGCTCTCGGAGCACCTCGCTCGCTCCCCGCTCTGTCTGCACAACAGACACTTAATGGAAAACCAGCCACTTGCCCGGTAACAAGGGGTAATCGAGGAGACCTTGGTAGTAATCTGTTAGGAAAATAAATCCTAGTAACAGTACGGTGAGATCAAACCATTCAGTTTTCTACTAAAAAGAAACGACAGCCGAACACACTTAAATTTTAAGCCAGAAATGGAAGTCTTGTTGATTTTTGATGAGGACTTTAAGACAGTTCTCGCTAAAAAATCCCCAGATGAGCAGAAGCTCTTGGACACCCAGCATCTCTAGCCAGAATAGGATAGAATTTAAAAACAGCTAAAGGCCAAGATATTTCAGAGAGGGTGGGCTTCCCAACCCTGGTACTGCTAACACTGGGGGACAGCGGAGTGTCTGCCGCGGGGCCGTCTGGGCTCTGCGGGATGATGAGCAGCATCCCTGGCCTCTACCCTCTAGATGCCAGTGGCATCCCCAACCCAAGCTGTGACGGCCAAAAAAGTCTCCAGACATGGCCGTAATGTCCCCTGGGGGGCAAAACTGCCCCCAACTGAGGACCACTGCTCTTTGGTCAGCTTTCACACTCTCTCCTTAGATGACTATGCCATTTACTGGGGTGGTGCACAGAGCTCACTGAACACCATGGGACTGGGGGCTCCTCTGGCCGTGGAGGCCCACCTGCTTTCCCAAGGACGTCCTCTAGGGGAGGTGCATCTCACTCTCCCATTCTGACCACCCTGTGGTGGGCCGGAGCTCTAGCAGGCAGGACTGCAGGCCCAAAGCAGCGGCCAGGAGCAAGATCTTAGGGGGCCCACTCAGCACTCACGAGGCTCCCCGGGCCCCCAGCAGCCGTGCGGTCACTAGCAGGGGCAGGAGTCTTCAGAGGCCTGGCCCCTTGGGGATCCTGGCAAGCAGGTGGCACCTCCAGGTTGGCTGAGACCCAGAGGGAACCCGGGTGGTGCTGAGGTGTTTTGATGCTAAGCTCGTTGCTCCCTCATTTGGACAGCATGTGCTAAAGACTGTACTTCTTTCTACCATTACTGGAAAGCTCTAGAACTGTGGTCTCTGACAGCAGGCGCACACACACACCCACACACACGCATTACAAGTTGTATGGATCCTGAAATCCTGATTTCTGTCCTTCTTAGAGAACAAACAACAGTAAAATCACTTTAAGTTGAGGCTGAGGCTTACGAACTGGGGAGAGCAGTACGCACATTTCTAACACCAGGACGTAGCTGGTGGGGGTCTCGAAGGTATCAAGGAGGCCAACAAGCAGCGGGTGCTGGAGGTTCTGCAGGATTCCAAGCTCATGGGTGACCTGGTCACGTTTCATCAGCTTCTTGTTCACAAACTTAGTGGCCACTGCTCGTTTGGTTCCTTTCTGATCACATTTCTTAACGACAGAGAATCTGCCCCTGGAAAACAGGTTGAGAAGATCATTTTCAGAGGACTCTGAGTACGTCACGGAGAAAAGACTCTGTTAACCTAAATGGACTGGAGGCCTGTCCGCAGGCTCTGCTCTCCCTGGCCACTCGTGGAGGGGCCGTGGCTCGCAATGACCCGGGGAAGCTGGCCAGTCTCCGAGCCCCTCAGCCATGGGATGCCCTGGGCCTGGCTGCCCCTTCTGGAGAGAACCGGCCCCTCTCTCTGTTTGGGCAGGAGGACCCTGCCACTCCAACCTACATCTCCAATCTGAAGAACACATTCAGCCTTTCTCAACTGGGACTCCACAGGAGAAAATTAAGGTCCACAAAAAAGGGTCTGAGCGACAGTCCTCTGACTTCTCCCAAGGACAGGACACAGCTAGTGTGGTCCCATAGGCACAGAAGAGGAGTTAAGTCATTACATCAATGGATGGCTTATGGCATTACGCCTCAATTCTCTCTTGGAACCCAAGCTGAAAACATCCTCTTTACTCCCTCAATGTTTATTTTTTTAAATTTTATTTATTTGAGAGCGAGCGAGAGAGAGAGAATGAGAACACGAGAGGGGGTAAGGTCAGAGGGAGAAGCAGACTCCCTGCTGAGCAGGGAGCCCGATGTGGGACTCGATCCCGGGACTCCAGAATCATGACCTGAGCCGAAGGCAGTCGCTTAACCAACTGAGCCACCCAGGCACCCATACTCCCTCAATGTTTAATATCAAAAGGCAATTACACATTACATTTCAAATATAATTCATATAACTTCCAACTGGTGGCAAAATTCACCACTAATCTTATCTACTCTTACAGACAGTTATGTCATACACTTGCTCTCTTGGAAGGGGCTCTGGGTTTTATATCATACCTGCCAAGCTCAGCCACTTCGCTGTAGAAGGAGTCAAAGTTGTCTTTCCAGGTCACCATGATCCCATCACTCCCTGGACCTGCAAGAAGAGCAGCATCTCCCCTGAGCTTGGTTTATGTGCGCTTCTTGGGGAAGAAGTCTATAGGCCTGCGCTGTCCAATATGGCAGCCACACGCGGCTACTGAGCATCTGAACTGTGGCTCACCGGACTGAAGATGTGCTGGAAGCGTAAAATACACACTGCAGGTTGGGACTCAGGATGAAAAGAGATGGATTTAGGTGACAGAAATAAACACACACTTCCTTTCCCATTATTTCCCCACTCGCATCTCCAAGGTGGAGTCTTCTATCTCCCTAAGCTCCTTTAGCTTCTGTAACTGATTTATTATAAAGCAAAAATCACCCTGTATAGTTTCTATGATGTCTTTTACAAATGAGACCACTGGCGATTCTTCACTTTCAAATTCAGGATTCTCTTTCTTCCTTGTGTCATGATCCAAGAATCAGATCATTTCCTTTCTCTGGTATAATGAGGTTAAAATATCTGGGATGAAGATACATGGGATAAAAATGCTAAGACAATTCTATTCATTGTCTACACACAGGGCGCTCCTGGACTCAATGCACCTTTTAGTTCAGATTCTTATTCTTGTTCTTGGAAACAGTTTCCTAGACCTGGTGCAGCTGAAGAATGCATGGGAAACGTCAGCAGCCCTGTACTGCACAGCTGGCCTTCTGTGAAGCCCGAGCTGCAAACCAACTGGTATGTGCTGCCTACTGAGCAATGGTCAGTGCAACCAGAGGAGATTTAAAAGGGCCTAGGATGTGGGTTCTGCCTCTGGGAGCTCAGGGTCTGGCTGAGGAGAGAGAACAAGGCCGTGCTGGGCCACGGAGAGAGCAAGGGCTCCAGACGGGAGCAACGCAGGTCCCACTGTGGTTGCCCTGCGTTCCCAGGAGGGACACTGTCTCAGTGAAGCACAGAGCCTGCATAGGCCTCAGCCACGCTCCTTCCTCTCCTCCCACAGCCTACGCGAGACCAACTTAGAGGAGATTCTCTCAGAGCCAAAGTGTCAACTGAGCAATTGAATAAGAGAAGTCAGATACAAGAATGTGTTTTGAGCACTACGAGCATGGGACGTACCGTGTTCCAACCCAGAGGCCGGCACTGGATGCTCGGCTGCCCAGGGGCTGGGTCAGGGGCCTGCACTGTGCACCTCCCCGAAGACATGAGCGGGGCAGGAGGTCACCCGCCCCGGGACACCCTAGACACTGTGGTCTGCCGCTTGCAGCTCTCGTTGGGAAGGCCCCACACTGACTTATTGCCACATATTTTAGACCTTCCTGAGTGTGTATGTGCAGGGGCAGGGTCTCTCTGGACCTGCGAGTCCCAGAAGATGCGCGCCCCCTGCTCAGGGGTGCCACTTACCCAGCACCCTCAGACTGGCTGAAGACGAGGCTGAACCCATGTCGTTCACAGCGATGCACGTGTAGATGCCATCATCTTCTGTGGTCACGCCGACAATCCTCAGAGTGGCCTCTCCCAAGTCGCTGCCGCACAGATGACAACTCATTGTGGGTCACAAAGGCGCAGCTCCCCCAGCGACCGCCCCTACCCTCTCTCCTTTGGGGTCACAGAAAATGACAGAGGAAGTACTGACAAGGAACTTCAAGTGGAATTTTAATTTTTATTGCACACCTCGGTATGAAATGCTCCCTTGTGGGTGACGTCAGGGTGCCGAGGGTAACCGAGGGGGTTGATTGTGTTGGTCACAGTTGACGGAGGTCACGCTCACTGCCAGCAAAACCCAGCCTCACCTGTAGGAGATGCTGTAGTGACCGTCGTTGTTCAAGGTGTTGTGTTCAGGGCCCTTCCAGGTGATCGAGGCCTTGGGGCGGCCACAAACTCGACATCTAAGAACAACGGTCTCCCCTGTCTCACACGTGACCTCACTCAAGGGAATGACGAATTCTGGGGGAACTGCAGGAGAAAGGAGTCAGGGATACCTGTCACCCTTGGCTCCTTTCCCACACCCACCAATCCTAACAAGAATGAGACCCGAATTGCCGCCCATGCCCCAGCGCTCCAGAAAACCCACTCTCCAGGTTACGCCCCAGCGTTCTACAATGTGCCCCATGGACCCTACACTCTGCAAAACCAGAGGAACAAGATAACAACTCACCGTCATATATGTAGTTGGGATTGAGAAGCTGAAACGGAAAAAGCACATAGATGTTAACCAGAAACATGAACTGTTTTGTGGTATGCTACTTTTATTCCCAGGCTACAAGTATCACTGAAAGATGAACAAGAATACAACTTGGGTCTCAAAACAGAGCACATTTTCATTGCCTTTACATGTACTCAAAAAGCCTCATGTCACAGATTTCAGTGAATTTTTGTCTTCCTACCCACCAACACAAAAGAGCCTCTTGAGCTCAGAAATGCCCATTTTTCTCATCCAACGGGCCGGGTTCGGCTGGTCCCTGGGCCCCTTCCTTCTGAAGAGCAGCCAGTGCCCTGACCAGAGCCCATGCCCTCCCTTTAGGGGAGATTTCCTTTCTCTGCAGGCAACCACTGCCCAGCTAGGTTTAGGGCAATCTGATCACGGGAGTAAAGCTGACCGAAGCAACCCCCGAGGGAACGTGCCAAAGCTGGTGAACCTGTGTCTCGGGCCTCTCTAGTCCCTTCCCAGCGGTGTGCGGCGGGCCCTGGAGAAGCCCGTAACACAGCTACCTGACACCGTGTACTTGGAGAACCTGGCCTCTGCTTCCCCAGCGCAGCCAGCAGCGTCCTTTGGAAGCTACCCGAGCGCCTGGTCAGGGCGCGCCCCGGCGCCCTGCGGGGCGCATGCGCACCTGTGCCGGGAGCACGGTCCCCGCGAGCGCTCTACGAAGCCCCGCAGGAGCTGCGCCCAAGGCAGCGGGAGGGGATGCGGGAGGCAGATGGCGGCAAGTGAGGCCAGGAGCCAGGCCCGCAACCCCTCCTGGGCCGCCCCCGGCCCCACCGCTGCCCCGGGAATGAATGCCGCAGGCTCCTGGAGACGCGCATACGCACCTTCACAGATACCTTGTTGCTGAGCCCCTCCCGCGACTTCCGATAACCGTTCTCTAACTTGCCTTCCCGCTTGCCGTCTTTATCTTTTTTCTCAGATTTTTTCCTTAAACGGAGTGCTGTGTGCCAAGATGTTGACTTCCTAGGGGGAAAATGACACGTTGGTAGTGTTACAGCTTTCTAGTGTTCAGCAAGTGATTCCTGAAAGCCTTAGAGAAAGGCTGAGTAGCCCACTTAGGGGATTTGGGGTGACGGAGGCTCCCTGAGCTCTGCTGAGGGAAACGCACCTGTGAGGCTCAACAACCAGAGGGGAAACCAAGAAGCTCTTCACTTTTGAGGATTAAAATACAAAAGTGCTGGTAATGGTCAATTTTATGTATCAACTTAACTGGGCCGCTGGGTGCCCAGAAATGTGATCACACGTTGTTCTGGGTGTTTCTGGATAAGATTAACATTTTAATTAGTAGAGTAAAACACACTGCCCTCCACAACGTGGGAGGCCCCCTCCAATCAACTGAAGGCCTTAGTAAAAAGACGGGCTTCCCTGAGCAAGAGGGAATTCTCTAGTAGAATGGGTCCCCAGCCTGCCGGCCCACACTGCACATTTGGACTTCCTAGTCTCCATAACTGTATGAGCCAATTCCTTTTATTACCTGCTTCCTCCCTGGAACGAACGAACACACACACACACACACACACACACACTCCTATTGGTTCTATTTCTTTGGAGAACCCTAATACAAGGCCTAAGAACACTCTTTGATAAAATGAAGTACAAAATGGGAATCTTGAACACTGTACTAGAGTAAAACATTTCTGCATATCAAGGAGAAACAGGACAAGGGGGTTATCATGGAGGAGAGGCTCTCTGTAGCCTGAACTCAAGCCCAACTCTCCCGGCAGCTGTGAGCTCCAAGCCCAGAGGTGCAGGGTGCTGCTGGGATGGGCCAGCCTGCACTGCGAACCCAGCTGAGGGTCCTCCATGCTTGGAGAGAAGCACGACCACTGTCACTGCCTTTGGGTCCGCTGGTGTGGGCTGAGGCCTTGGGAGGCTTCAGAAATCACCAGGGCCTGCGGTGCTCCCACTCCCAGAAACCACTGGGCTGATCTCTACCACAGCCAAACAGATTCAGGGAAGGGCAGAGTTTTAAACCAGCACCCAAATTCAGTTTTCTTAAAAAACTGTTTAATACAGCAAAACTGGTCATTTCCTCACTGAATTAACCTTCCAGCATACGCGAGGCATAATGGCAATGGCATCACACAGATGTTCGCCTGCAGCTCACAGAATGAGCACCTGCCCAGACGCACCCTCAGCAGAGCCAGCTAAGGAGTCAGAGGTCCCTGGGGAGTCCTCAGCCCTGACCCGAGACCTCGGAGATGATGATATCATTGTAAATAACCTAGTGGCTTAAAAAAGCTCTGTGTTTGCACATGCAGGTTATTCAAAGAACCTGCCAGAACGAGTCTGCGAGACGAAGGGCCACCCCATCCCCACTTTGGGGCTCCACACTGGGCTCAGAGATGACTCGCACTGACAGGCAATGGCGCAGCTCTCTCTCGCTGGGCCTCCTCCTCCTCCCAGGGCCTCTAGGCCCCTGGCCCCTTGGCTGGCCTGCCGGGTGGGCACTCACTTGAGAGTCCCATCGGGGTTCTCCATGATGACTGCACTGGTATGCCCCAGGACGAAGCCTGGAATCCAGCCCTCGGCTGCGGGGCACTGGTCAGTGGCGGCTCGGAACACCAGAAACATGTTCTGTTGATTGCTGGCCAGAATTTGAACGACCTCTCCTTGATAGACGTTTATCTCATCCTCCTTCACTGCCGTGTAATCGTGTGTCACCAACATGGTGGAGATGTTGCTACTGCTGCTACTTTCACTCTGGAGCGGGAGAGATGGAAAAAAGGCAGAGGGGAACTGAAACGAGATCTGATGTCATGAACTCGCTCATCGGCGTGTGGCCGCAGCGTGATGACCCAGAGCAGGGCTCACCAGACAGGCCCGGAGGCACCTGCCCTCCTCTGCCACTCTCTCTTTAGCTAACTTTGTGCCTTTTTTTTTTGGATAATTAAAAATCAGGATTTCTCTAGAAAGCAATGCAAGCAACAATCTAAATTCAGTCACCGCAATGATGACACTTTGCTTTCGGGAGCTTGGTTACCGTTTCAACCCCATCTTCCTTGCACCCTCAGAGAACAGCTCAGTCCTCCTGTTGATGCCATGCTGCCTTGTATCTATGTCACTGTGACCATCATGCTCATTTAAAAAAGTATTATTAAATTAAACGGACACAGAGAGTAAGTAGCTCTTCAGCTCACTGACACATTAGATCATGGAGTGGCCCCAAATCTGCCAAAGAAAATGTTCACGGAGAACACATATCATGACAAGCTGCTGACATGCCTGATCATTTTCACCTCTTTTTCCTTCTAAAAGAATGAGGAATACCTGAAAAGAAAACCAACTGCTGTTCTGCTCTCATGGATAGTTAGTCTGCCTCCTTTATGTGGCCCTCAGTGAGTGGCCCTGAACTTGCAGGACTCAGCTGTCCTGAAGATGCACGGGAACACACAGACTATATAGCACTGCAGAGTGGCTGTGGACACCGCTGGCACCACAAGTCAACCTCTGGGAACAGCCCTTGGCGTGAGAAAACCTACTCTCCTCTGGAGTCCTAGCAGGACCCAGTCTCTGTTCACTGTGTGTCTCTAAGGTCCACCACAGTGACGGACATGTAGCAGACACTCAATACATATTCAGTGACTCAACGACGCAAGATTGCAAGAGTAAAACAGAGATCGTTTCTTAAGGCCACCTACCTAGGCCCACAAGCTGAGTGGTGTCAGCTGCTGAGTAGAAGAAACACAAATGGCAGTATTTGTCCCAAGCTGTCATTTACCAAGTGACCCTTTTGTTCCAGGGGAGGAGGAGGAAGCTGACACCACTGTCACCTCCTGGCTACATCTTGCTCAATCCTATCCAACAGGTGGGATGTGGGAAAGGGCGTCACGCCCCCTGCTCCTGGTAGCTTGTTCTCAGAGGTTTCCACCAACGATGTTGTCTAGATGCTCACGGATCCCCCGGACTCCGATGACACTTAGCCTCTGCTGGGCTCTCGGCTGCCCGGGGCAGGTCCCAGGTGGTATAGTTGCAACCGTCAGACAACCCTGCCCCATGCCTGTCAGCCCTGGGCTACTGAGCTTGTGTCGGGATATGCTGGAGCGGACGGGCTCGTTGCCGTTAACAAGCCAGTGTGCCGAGAATTCCGGGGTGCGGGGCTAGGACTCTTGACCCACAGCGGGTATTTAAATTAAACACAGCAGAGTGCCAAGCTCCGGTTCTGTCTCAGCTGAGAGTCTGTTGCGGATTCCTGCCTCTTGTGGATCCCCCCATACTGTCCACGTCAGGCTACGTACGGCCTGTGCATATTCATTTATGCCATTTTATTCTTCTAGCGTGTACTTTATTCTGACTTATATAGTAATACCCAATAGAGAGTTTTGAGATCACAAAGCCAAGTTTGGTAGGAAATGCAAACAAAAAGCAACTTATGCAGCACAGCTGCTTTTGGCCAGAGCATCCCAAGCTTGTCTCGTGATTTTGCCACAATAATTGCTCTTAGTATTTTCTGAACACTCCCTATGCACCAGGCTAAGGATCAGGCATTTAAAATCCATCTCACTTAGTGCTCGAAGCTGCCTTCCCGGCTGGCACAACCATCACCCCCTTACAGAATGAGGGGTTGGGCACGCACACGGGCCACCTGGCCTCGGAGACTAAGGCAGGGTTGCACTTCTATTGCTGCCAGGTGGGCAAGTGCAGAGAGATTGTGCGTCCACATTTGGAAGCTGGCACAGTCACCATCTGGGTTGGTCCACATCCACTCCATTCCTGCTCTCAGCAGAACTTTCCAGAAGGTGCCCATGAAAGGAGGAAGAAGGCTCATGGGTTAGGCACAGCTGCTTGGCTGTGACTGCAGACCGCTCCGTGGAAGTAGTCAAGGAGGAAGGTGGCCACTGCTGACCCACCAGGACGATAAGATGGCCCAAATGGGTAGAAATGGGGCAGGAAGACAGTTCCTTTTAACCAGAGCACTTCAGAGTCCTAGAGAACATGTTCACATCCCCATTCAGGCCTCTAGTGGTCTTCCCAGCCTTCCAGGGCATTTCTGTAAGGCACTCTGACTCATCTAAAACACTGGCAATTTCCCTTTCCAGTTACCTACCACCTAAGAAAAAGTGAGAGGCAACTTTTGCAGCCTCAAGCCGGAACATACAGCACACGCGACTGTGCCTGTCTGAGGACATCCTGGGAGGGAGCCGGGTGGTGACGGTTATGTGTGTGTGTGCTCCCGGGCGGCCCGGAGACCAGCACGGGCGTCTGCTTTGGAACAGCTGAGGTTCGTTCTGAAGCACAGACTCTGAGCGCTCCTCGTCTGCCTAAGGGGAGTGTCCAGGATGAGCAGCTCGGGGAGCTGCTCCCAGGCCCAATTCCCCAATTCACAGGGGTCTCAGCTGTAAGGCCATGCCCACCTCCTGAGCATTCAACCAGATGTGGGCAGGCATGGCATCCCTGTGGCGCTCTGCCTCTTTTCCTCTGGCTGAAGTTGCTCACCTGCATTCCTAGCATTTCAGACCCACGGGGGGGGGGGGGGCAGGGGCAGGCTACCGTGGAGGCCACTGTAAGGCACCCACAAAGAGGAGGACACTGGTCACAGCCACTGCCTTATTTGTGCAAATAAGAGTCAAGGGCAAATAAATGTACCAAGACCCATTTCCTAATTTCTTCCTCAATTAAATATAAAGATTGAGTTTAACAAAATACGTAACAAATAGGAAAAAAGAGAAAGCCACGTCAACCCAAACAAGGCATTAACGGAAGTCCAGAAAAAAGAAGAGAGACATGCAAAAGCCAGATATGTTTTCATAAAGAGAGACACAGACCCTTTTAGGGAAATGTATTTAAAAATTTATAAAGCGATCAAACATACACTCGTTAGAACAGTTCTATTCCCTCACGCATGCCTTTAGGAAAAGTGTTAAAGGTCAGGCCATCTGCCATGTAGGAAAACAGCTGGGTAGGATAGTGAGGAAGCCACAAAATGGGGGAGAAACCCACCACAGCAACCTTTCTGCTTGAGGACACAACATAGCTGACGGGCAAGAGGAGGCCGAGGAAGCCCGAAGCGCCTGCAGCGCGCCCCCTGCTGGACAGAAGGCAGGACGCTCCCGGCCGCCGGCAGGAGCCCGAGCTCCAGAGGCCCTACAGCAGTCTCTTCCAGAGTGAAACTTGGGGGGAAGCAAGTATTTCCACTGGAGAGATTTCTTCCCCCCATTTTGTCTGCTTAGTTTGCTGTGAGTTGCTGTTGGAAGTTTTCTTGAGGGATTTTTTTTTTTCCAGCAGATGAGTCAAAAATGCTGCAAAGATAATTTAAGGCATAAAAGAGCACAACCAAGCGATGAGCAAAAAGCTTAAAGTGTACAGATTCCAACTTAAATAGGAGGTAAACAGCAGGGACACTGACCCCTCTAAAAAAAGGTGTGGGAGGAAGACAGGGGTAAAAAGGAAGTTCCAAGATACTCTGCTGGTCAGAGAGTGTGAAAGACGCACTGGCGCTGCCTTCGAAGGTTAACGATCTGGCTTCCCGGATTAAGGAGACACACACAAAGCAAGGAGCGAGTTAGTAGAGACGAGAGCAGCGCTGTCCCCGCGGCAGGAGGGGTTAGAAGGCGCCCGGTCCGCGGGCTCCGGGCCGGAGAGCTGACCACTGCAGGCGGCGCCGGCCGGAGAGCCAGGAGTTAGTAGGAGGAGAGCGGCGGCCACGGGGAGGTTTAGAAGAGCTGGCGGGACAGAGGCAGTGGGGCAGGCGGGCGCAGGCTGCCGGGCGTTCTTACCCCGTTGCTCTGGGTGGACTGCACGGACTGCTCGCTGGCCGAGGAGCACGTGCTCATGCGGTCCGTGTCCTTGCCGGGGGCCGCATGGCGCTGCGCCTGCCGCTGGAGGGAGTCACTGTCCCCCGGGAAGGTGAAGGAGCCCGGCCGGCTGGCGGGGGAGGCGGGGATGGAGCTCCAGAAGGAGCCCCCCTTCTGCAGGGGGCTGCTGGGGGGAAAGGGCTCCTTGCCGATCGGAGAAGGGAACGCGCTGGCCACAGGAGAGTTCAGAGGCGAGAGGGCCCCGGGCCTGGGCTTTCCCAGGGGCAGCGAGCCCAGGCTGCTCCGCGAGCGGCTGTCCTCCGGGTTGGCCCGTGCCTCCTTGGCGTCCGCATCGCGGCCGGCGCCTGCTGCGGCACTCCCCGAGGACTTCCTGGGGCTCTCAATGACCTTCATCTTGGGGATGCGCTCGGCGGCGTCTTGCTCGGGGCCTTCGGGCTCTCCCGGGGCCCGCCTGCCGGGCTGGCCGAGGCCGGCCTCCGGGGCGGGGCTGCTGCCGGGAAGGGGCGGTGCAGGGCCGGGAGTGGACATACCTGACATCTTGTCTGCCTCTGCCTGGCTCGAGGCTGCAGAGGAGACCAGCACGGGGGAGTGGTGTCTGACAGGCTGGGGGATCCGGGAGGGTCTGCTTCTGCTCGAGCTGGGGAGGCCGCTGCAGCTGCCGGGGCCGCCGCTGGGGTTGCCGCCTCCGCCGCTGGGGGCCCCGC